TGACCGTGTCTCCCAGCTATGCCGTGGAGTGCTGCACGGATCCGGAGAAGGCCTTGATCTTTGCAGACTCTCCAGGGCTAAGCACTGAAGAATCTAGGGATCTAGGGTTTGGGGGGTATCGCGAGCGACCTGCATCGCAGAAGTGCAGAGTGTGAAGGTCAGTGTTGCAGTCCAAGTCAGTCGCCTCCAACGCCACAGGGCGTGGAGTTGGAGGACCTTTTCAGCCTGGGCAAGTGCACAGGACCCTTGCAGCGCAAGCTTCAGGTGGAGCCGTGTGGAGTGGTCGGTCTCATGTAAGGCTTTCCTCGCGAGACCCTAAAACACTCAACTCGTAGCTGTCATGACGCAGGAATCCTGAACGGCGTGAAGGAGGGTGTGACCCCTAGCGACAAGAATTTTGTCACGAAGACCATGATGAGCTGCGGAGTCTTCACTGCCGGACGCTCAGGGGTTCAGGTTGCAGGCTTCGAGAGCTTACAGTAGCGGTTTGGCCGTCGCCTTTGAGTGAACTCCTTGCTCTTAAGGTATGTCCGAAAAACACCGGAACCCTATGCCTCGAGTTCCCAAATTCTGAACTGGCTCGGCCCCGAACCCCTAAACCCTCAACCCCCGAAAGCACTAAGCCCCAACACCCTCAACCTCAAAAACCCTGCATCCGCAAACATTGCAACACCTAAACTGGGAACAAAGCAGAATATGGACACAAGAAAGTATTGAAGCTGACCCTCTTATAGGGACATTATATACGCTGGTGAGCTTTTCGGACTCCATAAGCCCTCCACATCCCCAGAATCCTTAAAACCCCGGAAGCTCGCAAAGCCCCTTAAGGCCTCCTAGCAACCCGTGAACCAGAAAGCTTCTGAACCTACCCACTAAATCCCAAACTTTAAGCCCTAAACCCTAAAGACACCCTAGAGCCCAAAAAAACCCGAAACCCTTGAACCCCTAAAGCCCTAAAACCCCTCAAGCCCCGAAAGCCCTTAAAGCCCCGGAAGCCCCGGGAGCCCCTGAAAAAGTGCGCCTGCGGACCCCAAAGGCGGCCACTGCCCCGGAGGCAAAGGCCGAGCTCAAGGCCTGGCAGGGTTGGGCTCCTTTGAAGGGGGGTTCCTTGAAGGGATTTAGGGTTTCAGGGTTCAGGGTTTTGGCTTTTTAGGGTTTCAGGGTTTAGGGTTTTAGGGTTTAGGGTTTAGGGTTTTAGGGTTTTAGGGTTTCATTGTTTAGGGTTTTAGGGTTTAGGATTTTAGGGTTTTAGGGTTTTAGGGTTTAGGGGGTTACGATAAAAGGGTTGGTAGAAGGGTGATTATAATTGTTAATTACTTTAAAGGGTTGCTGTACGGGTTCCTTCAAGTTCAGTGATTCTGTGGCTTGAGCTTGTTGCGCTTCGCCAGGCCAGCTACCGCGCACAGAACAACCTCCCGGCGTCCACCGGCCCCCTGATGTGCTTCATCGGAAGGCTCGAGGGCTTCCAAGACTTAAAGCATCCCAAACTTTCGAGCCCGAAGACTCACGCCACCTCCTGCAGCCGACGGAGTTTGTTAACTAAACCTTCAACCCAAAACCCCAACACCCTTACCAACTAAGATTAGGCCTGGGCTTTACAGGCGGGAAGGGTGGAGGGAGCCTTGCAGCTCTCTCAGAGGGAAAATCCTCGCTGAAAGTGAGAAGTCCAGACTTCACAAAAGGCAAACACCCCTAAAACCCCAAACCCTACACCGAAAACCTTCAGGCCTGTGCCCTGATTTGAAGCAGCTGCAAGAGGCCCAAACCCCATTCCGGAGCCCCAAGCCCGAAACACCCCAAACCCTAAACCCAGCTAAAAAACTCCTACATCCCAGATGTTCATTCCCTGAAGCCCTGTGCCCGAAAACCCAAATCCCAAAACCTTTTAACTCTGAACCCTCAAAGGAACAACAACCCATCTCCCAAAACCCTAAGCCCATGACATCATGAGACCCCACACCCCTTGGAACCCTAAGCCTAACCCTAAAACCTAAACCATAAACTCAACCTAAACCCCCAAAAGCGCCCTTGGAGGCTGGATGCCCAGAAGGGCTACGACCTCCTCTTGGAGGCCCTGGTGGAGATCCTCGAGGCCTTGCGACCCGTACAAGCGAGACTCTCTAGGGATTCTGGGGCTCTTCGGGGGTTTCGGTTGGGTTTTTCAACATGGGGGCATCTAGGGCTCTTCGGGGGGTTCAACATGGGGTCTGGGGGCTTACGTAAGGCTTAGCAGCTTTTAGCAGTTTTGGGTGTGGGTTTCATCCGAGACCAAAGCTCCCTTGGCTCCGAGAGCCAGAGAAACCCAGAGCAAAGACAGCTCCAAAAATCGCTAAGCTCCCGAACCCTGAATCCTAAAGCTTGTATGGAACCCTTTTGAACCAAGCCCTCTAAAGGCTTTGCAGAGTTGAATTTAATTTGTTCTGTTGTATGATAGACCGAAAGCGCTGTTCAAATCATGTCGCTATACGAAACCGTTAAAGTAACCCTTGTAGTAACCGTGGTAGAACCCTGTAACGGAGCCCTTAGAGTAACCCCTTAGATTAACCTCTCCCCGTATTGTAGCCCTCAGAGTAACCCTTGAAAGTAACCTTTACTTCTAGCAACCAAAATGGTAATCCTTATAGAAACCCCTTAAGGGAACCCTTGTCGCAACCCCCTTGCAGTAACCCTGTGTGGAAACCCCGGATAGGAACCCTTATAGAAACCTTTAGAGTCATCCTTCCACCAACCGAAGGAAGCCCCCCGTATTAACCCTAGACCCTACACCCTAAACCCCTAAACCCGGAACCCCTAAACCCTAAACCCTAAAACCCTAAACCCCGAAACCCCTGCACCCTAAAACCCTAAAGCCCCAAACCCCTAAAGGGCCTCCCTTCGCCAGGACACCGAGCTCCAGGTCGTTATCGTCGGTTCGGGTCGTGCCGATCTCGTGGCCCAGCTCCTCGGCCGAAAACCGCCTTTTTTGTTGTTGTTGTTGGATTCAGGGTTTAGGGTTTAGGGTAGAGTTTAGGGTTTAGGGTTCAGAGTTTAGGGTTTAGGGTTTAGGCGACAACCGCTGTTTGGATTTAGAGGTTGGGGGGTTTTGTGCTTAAGGGTTTTAGGGTTTCGGGCTTTGGGGATTCATGGTAGGGGGTTTATGGCTTTTGGGGTTCGAGGGGTGCGGGGGTTGCGTTGGCTTTTAGGGACCTTTGGGTCTTTTTAGGACCTTCGGGTTTTGAGGGCTGAGGGCTCCGGCTCCGGGACTCTTATCGTGAACGGAAGGGGGTTTGGGGTTTGCAGAGCCTTTTGGGGCAATTAGAGTTTTTTTTTGTTTAGGTTTTTGGCTGTGAGGTTCCAGGACCTGGTGGATTGAAGGGCTTTTGAGATTCCCGGATTCCTAGTTTTTTTTTCATGTTTGTTTTCTTTCTTTTTTTTTTTGTGTAGGTGTCTCTCTCTCTTTGTTTCTGTGTTGCTTTGCTTCGGTTTCTTGCGGGGCTTCCGAGCCCGGGTGTGGAAGCTTTTCGGGCCTTTTGGTTCTTGGCCTGGGGAATAATTATGAGTCCTTGCTTCCCAGGATCAGCGGGCCCGGGGTTCTGGGGATTTTGGGCCAGTCGTGTGGTTGAGGGTGCCCGGGAAGGGTAGGTCCCATACTTTGGGACCCGATGCTCCTAAGAGGTACTTCATAGGAAGACCCTTAAGGGATCTGTTGTAGAAGCCCTTGCAGACATAGCGGGGCTTCGCTATTCCATAGGCCGGGTCTTCAGATCTGGCAAGTCGCAGAAATCTCAGAGGTTAAACGTTTCAGGACGGCCCCAGACCTTGCACATAAGACATCCTAATACCCAAAGTCCGAAGACCGAAATCTCGCTAGCGACGTAACTGGGGCTCAAGTTTCGGTTGAGGCCTGTGGGGTTTGCCGTTCTGCATCTTGCTCTTGGTTTCGGAGCGTAGCTGGATTTAAGACTCAAGGCCTTCAACAATGAATGCTCTGTCCGGTAACAGCAGGATTTCGTTTGGGAGGGTTTAGGGTTTTGTGTTCTAGAGCTTTAAGATTTTGTCAGCCATGTGTAGAGTGGGCATGTTAGGCGGGAATCAAGCCCAAACAGGACGCCCGAAGACAGTCTCAAGGGCTTTCCCTAAATCCTCAAACCTAAAGCCCCTAAACCCTAAAAAGCTTGACGGACTTGTTGATGTTCCGGGTTCGTAGGCTGCCGGGGCATTTTCAGGACCAAGGCCGTCGAGAAGAAGTATCCCAGCAAGTTCTTCTACGCAGGCGAGGCTGTTGAAGGAGTGCCTGTTTGCTTTCGGAGTTGGCGTGCAGCTGGTGAGGTTTCATATACTTAAATGCACTTTGACGGTTCAGGCTGGATGGGCCCGGAGCGCTATGCCTTGCTGGCTGGCTGTGACTACACGCTCCTTCCGTCCAGGCACCGGCTTGCCGGGGTTTTGGGAGGGTTTGATGCATTCATGGCCTTGTCGGGTTTGCACACTGCTGTGTCGTCTCCTTGACTTGCGGTTTCTTTCTTGCATGTGTTGGGGGGCCCGACAGGCTGTCAGGGGCCCAGTGCCTTTTGAGAGGAGTTAGCTCTGACATGAAGGTCCTGGAGATTTGGTTTATACGGTATATACGGCAGGCTGCAAAGGGGTTTTGATGTAGGAGCCTGATTACGAAACCCTGGTCCTGTATCCCAAAATTGTGGGAGTCGGAAAAACAAGCCCGAACAAAGACCCACAATTTTTCAATGAGGCTCCTACATCAGGAAAAGGCGGTTTGTTGTCTGGCTGGCATCCTTGTCCCGGCCAAGCATAACTCTCCGTACCACCGCAAAAGCTGACGTTAAGAATCGTCTCTGCCCGACTGCACCTCAGGTGGGAGCCTTGTGGCCTGGTGCAGATGGAGGCCGGCTCTTCAGGGCTCCGGTGAGGAGCACCGATGCTTTCCGGGCTCAGTGGAATGTTACTTGGTGCTCCCGTCGGTAAAGCCATGTATCTTGGCTGCGCAAGGCGCGTGGCCACATGAAGACTCCAAGATCGAGCTCCGGCATCTATCCTAGACATTCCAATGCTCGCAATGTATTCAGCATATTGTCAACAAAGCCAAAGCCGAAACGACAACAGACGATGTGGACAGCAATTTCTCTGACTCTGAAGCCAAGAACCCAAGATTTGGAGGCCATGCGCATGGGAACGCTGCCCATCGTCGCCCCCACCGGCGGACTCAAGGACACCGTGGAGGACCGCTGTGTGGATGTGGAATGTGGCAAATTAGGCATCAATTTTGCCGGTTGAGTTTATCGCTGGCTCTTGGCATAATCCGTTGGGAGCCTGCTCTCTGGGGCTGGGTCTTGAGTGCAATTTTCTGCTCGCATCCTCCTGGGAGATGCTGATTTGAGCCATTTGTGTAGGGATACAGCACGATTCTGCGAGGAAGTGACATCTCGCTTCCGCTTATTCTTGTCATGCTTTGCTTCGTACACGATGAGATGCTTTCCCACCGGTCCTGGTACCTGGTGTATTCTTAGTGGTCACCATTGCAATCATCATCACGGACGTCGCTCCTCTTCTTGTTGTGGTTGGGATGATGGTCATTCCCTTCTTGTTCGCAGCATGCAGCGCCTTACCGTGGCGCTGGTATGTAGCACCCTCGCCTCTACTTAGAGGAGCCCTACAGACGGCCAAAGCAAGTTGCTGAAAGAAGAGTTTGTCACGCATCACTGCTTGCCTTCGGCGAAACAATCCAGCAAAAGTCTGGTAAACACAGGGTTCAGGGAACAAATCTCCCATGAGGATGGCCTGAATGGGCTCTGGACCGACAAGGAGATGTCCGTGGAGGCGGTCATCGATGAGGCCCGAGTTCAGGGATACAGGGTTCAGGCCTTCAACGCCTCACGGGCTAGAACTTCGGATTTAGGAGTTCAGGGTAAAAACCCTAAACCCTAAGGCCCTAAGCACTCGCTTTTTCTGCAGCTCCCTAAAGCGCCGAGGAGTCCGTCCAGTCCATCGCGAAGGCCCTGAAGCGGGCCTCGAAGCTCTTCATCGAGGAGCCCGAGAAGGCTGGGCTCCTGGGATTGCTGCTGCTACCCAGAGAGCCCAGAATATACTTTAAATCATCACATTCAGGCCCCCATAATTTACGGTATTATTCCTTATTTAAGGTGTATTGGGCTCTCTGGGTACTACGATGCCGACGACTACTGTAGGTCTTAAGCCCCTGAATCCTGGTGGTGAAGACCCTGCACTCTAAACCCAGAGCTCTAAACCCTGACCCAAAAAGCTTGGAGCAAAGCACATCACACAGATATAGCACCGCTAATCACCCCTAAACCCTGAATCCTAAACCCCAAGCCCCAGCAACATGAGGAAACGCATCTTTTGGCACCCCTAACAACAACAAGCCACCCGGAAAGGTGACTCCCTCCACCTTAAACCCTAACTCCTAAAGACCGCCAACAGCAATGCCAACCGCCGGTTTTGGATCCCTTGAAGGAACCCTCACAGGGAACCTATGGTAGAACCCTATAACACCCTATTGTAGAACGCAGTGCCCTCAAAGGGGTTTCTTTGGTAGGGCGCCTTTAAAGGATCCCTTTAACGGAGAACCTTAGAGGAACCAGTTATATGAGGAACCCCTCAGAGATCCCTTCGAGGATCCCTCTTATGGTTCCCTCAAAGCACCCCTTATAGATCCCTTAGAGGAACCCCTTATATGGATCCCCTAGAGGATGGAACCCTTTGTGACAGGTGAAGGCCATGACCCGGGCGGCCATGGCCGCCTCCGCGGAGTTTACCTGGAGCAACGCGGCCCTGCAGTACGAGGCCTCGTTGCGCTTGGGGGGGCCTTCTTTAGGCCTTCTTTAGGGGTCCCTTAAAGGATCCCTTAAAGGGATCTCCTACAGATCCCTTTACGCTTTTTTTAAATCATGGTTCTCTTGAGGGCCCCTTTCGTGGATTCTGCAAATGCCTCTTTCAGGGTTAGTTTATGCCAGAAAGCCAGAACCCAGCTCCAGAGACAAAAGCTGCGACCCGATCCGACGGTTCTGCAGGCCGTCTTCGAGGAGCTTGGAGTCAAGGATCGGGCTTTTCCTGTTCTTGTCTTGAGGTTGTCCTTTTTCTGAAATTCGATTGTAGGGGCCGTTATAGTGAGAATAGGCTTTTGGGGTAGATTGTAATTTTGCCGTGGCTATATAACAAGGAACCCCAAATAATATTGGTAATTATACAGGCCCTCGTATTACTAAAACGGCTCAAAATCGTTTGTTGTTGTCGATGATCGTGAAGCAGATTGTCCCTGCTAGGAGATTAGTCGTTATGCCCCAGGGGCTTCATGGCAACATGAAGTGCTACCCATTCAAGCTTCGGTTGTCAGATGCGCGTTGCCCTATCCGCTCTTTAACCCCACACCCCGTAAACCCGAAACCCGAAACCCGAAACCCTAAAACCCTAAACCCTAAACCCTAAACCCAATCCCCGAGAACCCCAAAACCCGAAGCCCTCGGACCCAAACCCCTGACACCCGACCCTCCGCCCTGAACCTCGAAGCCTGGCTTCTTGGGCGCCAAGCACCCACAAGGGACTAGGTTGTAAGGGATGTTTGGGGTGTAGGGTTTAGGGTTTAGGGTGATGTTTGGGGTTTAGGGTTTGGGGTGATGTTTAGGGTTTAGGGTTTAGGGTGATGTTTGGGGTGTAGGGTTTAGGGTTTAGGCTTCGAGGGCTTGGGCTACACATCCCTCGATCCGCTACCCCACATAGTCGGGCTCACCCCGCTTTTTACTTGTAGGATTTTCGGGATAGGCAGAATTTTAAGTAATACAGTATCACAATAATATAACATGTTATAATAGTGTATGCTCCAATACAAGAGTACATTCTACAACAGCAAATCTTCCGGCGCTGAAGGACATGCTGAAGGGCCGCACTGCCACTGTCACGCTGGAGACGGACAAGCAGGTGATGGGGTTAGCCGGTTTTTGGGTTAAGGGTGTCGAGTTGATTCAAGCTTCAGGGCTTTGAGGGTCGGGCTAGAATGGGCCAGAACTCCTGAAGGCCGTAAGCATTCAAGATTTGCGGCACGCTTAAAGCTTATGTACACCGATTCCTGACGGCATGCAGCCTGGGTCCTAGACCCTGATCCCTCAACCCCCAACCCGAAACCCAAAAAACCCGATCCTTAAACCCTAAACCCAAAACCCAAAAACCCCAAACCCTAAACTTGTCGTTTTGTGTTGGGTAGGCCTGCGATCCCTGGGTTGGCTTTACGCCCTTTCCAAGCTCTCCCCAGTGCTCCAACACTTCAAACTGTCTCGGTTTCTATGGGTGGCATAATCTAGTATAGTAGTAGATTATAGTATAGTACATTATAGTACAGTATATTGAGGAATAGTATAGTGTAGACTTGCATTGTATATAGCATATTATAGTCTTGTTGCATATCATCGTCGGAGCATATAATGGTCTAGTTAGTTGTCTGTTTTGGGGGCCTAGGTGTGAGGAGTTTTGGCCCCCCGTCGCCGCCTCGCAGGTGTGCTAGGCCACCACGACCTGCACGTGCCCCAGGGAACACACCTTTGCAAACCGGCGGGGTTTAGAGTTTAGGGTGGATGCATCAGCCAGTCTTTTGCGCTAGCGCTGCTATAAGAGCAAGACGAGAAAAGCAAAGGAGCGCGTAGTATAGAAGCCTGAATAATCATTTCGACCCCTACATCAGCTGCTGGGGTGGTCCTCATGTTCTTACTACCGGGTTGAGGGCCATGTTGTTCACCGAAAGGGCCCATCTCCCGGCGCAAGGTAACGCACCTGAACATGCTCATAGCACCAAGCTTCCATGCTCCATGTCGTTGACGGTTCAGGAGTCTCGATTCGGAGGGAAAAGCCGCCGGGCTTGCTTCATGCTTCAGGGCTTCAAGCGGGGTTGCAGGAAGGTGGTGGCGTACGCAGAGGATTGGAGTTGAGGATGACAGGAGTCTTCTCTTCGGGGCTTTGTTCGGCCTCGAGCGGTTTTGCTTGGCGCTGAGTCACCGAGGTCGTGGAGATCTCATCGCCACCTGACCTGAATCTTTTAAAATTGTGTTTTCCAAGGTTTTCCTTCGGTTGCGAGCTGACCAACTGCGCAAATTTGATCTGGAGCCTTTCGACTCGATACCATCACAGAATGCGAGGAAGGACAAGCTCGCAGCCCAAACTTAAATGAGGGGGCCTGAACAAATTCGGCTACCCTCGGTTTCGCCAATTTTCTTTCCGTTCATGGGAACGTTGTAGCTCGCTCGCATCTTCTGCATGCGTCGCTGCGGCAGCTGCTATGCTGGCAGGGTGTGAACCTCTGCTGTCGTGGCCAGTTGCACTACTGGCCTCTTTCCCAGGCCGCAAAATCTGAACTCCAAGCCGCAGGAGGTTTGCAGTTTGGAGCCCAAGAACTAAGCCCTTGGTTTCTTTTGCACCAACTGGGAGGAGTGCCCGTGCCTTGTGCACCCGATAGTAGTGGACCACGACAAGCATCTCCGGGAAACCTCGGCTGCTTTCGTCGTGCCACGACCACAACAGAAGTCATGCTCGAAAAAAGGACTAGCATGGTCGTGACGTGACGATGATGATGGTGATGATGATTATTGTATGTTTGGCGCCAGCAACAGCAATGGAAGGCCAAAGTTGTTTATGTTTTTGACAGCTCTGCTGACTCGAGGTGCCTCAGGCTAGGCTAGTTCTTAGCACCGGAGGACTCAAAGCTCCGCGGCAGGTTGGGACGGTTCCCACTTAGGTCTTCAGGTGGTTGCAACCTCCCTGAGATCCAAATCGCGAACACGTTTGAGAGGTTTTCAGAATTGCGGCCTTTAAGCTAGGCTTTCTCTTCGAAGGAGCAGGCCGCAGCCATTTTCCAAGCTCCCGAGCTCGCACACCTTTTCCCTTCCCGCAAACCCCTGCAAAGCCGGGCCGCTTCCTGAGCTCCGGAGTTCACCTCCCCAGGGATTGACCCTTTGTGGGGGGGGGGGGGAGCTTCTGCAGGTAGAAGCGTTTCTCAGGTGTGCCAGAGACCCCACGACCTCTCAATCAAACAGTACACCTAAGTCATAAACTACTTCATGAAGCCCAAACCTGAACCCTAAAAGCCCTAAAAGCCCCAAACCCTAAACCCCGAAGGGGCCCTGGGGTCTATGGGTCGGTAGACCCTAGACTCCAAAACCCCTGAGACGACTTTGGGGTTTAGGGTCGGGGGTTTGGAACTGAGGCTTGGTGGGTTTCAGGGCTTTTGGGGTTTAGGGTTTAGGGTTGGAGGCTTCGGATTGTCGGTTAGTCCCGGAAACCTCAGTCAGAAGATGGGAACATGAAATTTGACGCCGTCATCGCTTTAAGCCTCAACAACTCGGCTTTGGGCTTAAGAGGTCTAGGCTGAGGGCGATGTGCTTTACCACCAATCTTCTAGCACTACCACGTCGGGCTGAGTGCTTCGGGCTTTCAGAGCCCCTGACAAAGCAAGGGGGGGTCTCTCTTGCGCTCCCCCCAGGTGTAGGGTTGGCTGAAAGCCCCTGCAGGGTAATATAGGGGGCATAAAAAAAGCTGGGATTAGTCAGGAACCCCAGTAATTGCTGTTTTCTATTAAGGAGCGCCAAAAATATCATATTGGTGAATTCTTTAGGGCCCCCAGTTTGGGCCTCTCTTTCTGGCATCGCCTTCAAGCTCAAAAACACCCCGAGCCTCAGAGATTCGAAGGCACCGGATCTTGGCGGTTTTTTCAGCTCTTAGCAGGGTCTATTTAGGGTTATTAGGGTTCCCTGTTTTAGGACCCTGCCTTGAACAATCCCCGAGTGAAGTAAACCCGGCAAGGCTAAGAGTTTATCAGCCCGAGAGGCCCGCTCCGGTGTCATGCTCTGGCCCACTGCAGTGATTGAGGAAACTCCAAAGCCATACACTGTAAAGCACCCTGCAACCTCCCTAAACCCTGTGCCCTGAATCCTTCAGCCCTGAACCCTAGAGCCTTGAACCCGGGAAACCTCCAACCCCTTAGAATGTCTCGAAGAACCCCACAGGGAGCCCAAATTGGCACCCTCAAAGAAAACTTGTCGGAAACCTTCAAGAGACCGTGCCCAAGCCCTCGGGTGCCTTTGTCCGAGGATGTCCGCGCCGAAGGCCACTCCCCCCGCCCAGGCCCCTACCGTCGTTCCCGTCGCCAAGGCAGGGGTTCCTCCTGTAGCCCTGTTGGTTTGAGGGTAAAAGGGTGAAGGGTGCAGGGTTTACGAGGGTCTAGGGCTGAGGGGGTGCAGGGGGTTACGGGCCGGGACACGATGCCAAGTACAAGCTGTCATGACTGCGAGTATGATGTCCTTCATGATGATCATGTGTCTCCGGGTTCCTATCGCGGTGGTGATGCAGAGTATCAGTAGCTTTATGTTTCTTATGTTTATCGGAGCTACTGGCCACGATTATCTTTATCAGCGCTATCATGTCCCATGTCGAGTCGTGGTTTTCGCGCTGAAAATGATGATGACGATGACGATGCTGCTGCGGCTGATGATGATGACTATGGAGATGATGTTGATGCTGGCGACGATGATTCTGATGATGGTTGTCTCAGATGTACTTCTTTTCTTTCCGTATCTTAGTGCTGTCGCCTTGACATGTAGGATCTCGGGAGAAGGCTTCAGCGTGGTGTTTCGAGCTGAGAGTTTCGGCAGCAAGGCCAGGGATCCCTCCCTTCAGGACTGAGTCCTTAGAGTCCACGAGGGCTTGGGAAAACTCTTCGATTCCAAGTTGATGGGTTTAGGGCTATCAGAGGCAAGTGGAACCATAACCCTCAGAACCAAACCCTAAACCCTAAACCCTATACATATATATATATATACACATCTATATATATATATATGTATATGGAAATAACGCTAAATCCCCAAGCCTAAACCCATGAGCCCTCCCAAACTTTAAACCCAAGTATCTTGACCTGCGCCTCTGTTTCAGCTCTTACCGGAGGCTGCTGATGTCGCCCAGACCGCCAAGGCCCGGGAGGAGGCTCCCAACCGCGAGGAGAACGGGCGTGGAGAGCAATCTTGGAGCTTCGGGTCCCTTAAACCCCAAGCCCTAAATCCCAAACCCTTAAACCCTGAACCTTAAACCCTAAACCTTAAACCCTGAACCCTAAACCCTAAACCCCGAACCTTAAACCCAAAGCCCTAAACCCCAGACCTCAAGCCCGAAAAGATGCTGCAAGACGCAAATCGCCAAGCGCGAAGACACCGGCACAGCCCTACGCCTAAACCCAATCAGAGCTATCCCCCCAAACCGTAAGACTCTGAAGCCCTGAGCCCGCAAAACGACCAAAAAGCCCTAAAGCGCCAAACCCTCAGAAGGCCTAAAAAGCCCGAAAGCGCGAAGCCCTCTTCAGAACGCCCAAAAAGCCCTAATGCCCAAAGAGCCCTCATAGCAGAAGCTTCCCAGGAGAAAGTGAAGGCCGCTGGCGCAGCACCCACGGCAGCCACGGCGGCCTCCGCACCCCCCCAGGCCCATGGTTGCTTCAGGGGAGTGGGAGAGTGGATCCCGATGAGGCCATGGCTGCTCTAAGGCTCAGGGGTTGATTGAGGGGTTTAGGTTTAGGGTTTAGGGTTTTAGGTTGAGGGTTTGGGGGTTCAAGGGTTTGGGGTTTGGGGTTCGGGGGTTAGGGTTTAGCGTAGTATCAGGTTGTATGCAGTGGCTACAGGGTACTAACCCCTAGTTCCGTAAACCAGAAATCCTAAATACCGAAACTCTTAGAAGGAATAGTTGCCCTGATAGAATCCCTTACAGTGACCAATCTGACAGCCTTGTAGTACCCCATATAGTAACCCTTTCTGTACTTCTTAGGGTAACCTTACATACATATATAGGTAGATAGATAGATAGGTAGATAGATAGATAGATAGTACCCCTTTTGTGGCAACCCCCTTCTAGCAGCCTCTATTTCGCAGCTCCCTCGCCGCCTCAGGTGCCGAAGTCCAAGGCCGCAGCGTTGGTGACCGGTGCATCGGCTCCCAAGGCTGTCGCCGCGGAGTTGAAGAGTTTTAAACAAGGGTGGTTATAAATCCACCTACTGTGGCTTTTAGGGGTTTAGGGGTTTAGGGTTAAGGGTTCAGGGTTGCTGTTGATGATGTAAATCCTGCATGACCTTAAGGACCCTGAACTATGGGAATTATGGTCTATTCCTTATTCTGGGTCATGCAGGATTTATATCATCGACCGTAGGGCCCCTTTAGAGGTCCCAAGCTTTTGGGCGCCGTCTTAAGAGTAGAGCTCATAGAAAGCATCATGGGGTTTTGACGATGACCCAAAAAGGGGTTCTCTAGGGCTCTTGGAGCTTCTACCAGGGTTGGATAGTGCGAGTCCAATAAGGGGTTCTTCCAGCTTCTGTAGGGTTCTGCAGGGGTTGGGCAAATGAGGGTCTATAAGGTGTTTTTTTTGTTAAGGATCCTGAAGGTTCGAAGAGGGGTTCTGGAGTTTTAGAGGGGTTCTCTACGGCCCTCAGGCGTTGAGGGTTTAGGTTCGTGGCTTTCGGGTGTAGGACCTTGTAGGATTTCTGGTGTAGTGGGGCTTGATGGTGACATGAAGAGCTCTGCAGTTGTAGCTGTATGTACTTTTAAACCCGTAATATCAAAGCATCGCATCACGTCATTTCTTTCAACAACACCACAGTATACGATTACACTCCATGTTCTGCAGATGCACGCATGTAGATGTAGAGTCAGTTCGCTTTTTTGAAGAAGTTATACTCCTGTAATCCCTGAACCCTAAAACATTACGGGAACCAAGACAAACCCTAGACCCTAAACCCCTAAACCCCTAAACCCTAAACCCTAAATTCCCTCACCTCCCTAAACCCCTAAATCCCCAAACCCTAAATTCCCTCACCTCCCTAAACCCCTAAACCCCCAAACCCTAAATTCCCTAACCTCCCGAAACCCCTAAACGCCGAAATCCTAAATTCAAAAAATTCCCTAAGCCCCTAAACCCTAAACCCCTAAACTCCAAAAAATCCCCTAAGCCCCTAAACTCCTAAACCCCTAAACCCCTAAATTCCTTACATTCCCTAAGCCCCACACCCCTAAACCCTAACTTCCAAAAAGTCCCTAAACCCCTAAGCCCCAAACCCCTGAA